CCCCCCCCCCCCCAGTTATTAGCCCCCCTGGATATAAGCCTTTCTATGTGCTAACAAAGATATTATTCCGGATATACCCCCCCGCCCCCTTCAGATATAAGCCCATCTAATGTATAAGTGCGTTCCTTTTGCGTTTCTTTACAAGCATCAAATATTTAAAGCTAAATAGTGAAATAGGATAATAATAGGGTCAGTAGGGTGATAGAGTAATAATAGGGTTATAGCTCTAAATGAAATGGTATGTTAGCTTTAATTCATTCTCAGATACGTTTTTTCTTGTCATTCCAAAACATTTTTTTTTTCATATAAGCCCACCCAAAACCCCTTATGAAGTTATATAAGACCAGGGTTTTAACCTGGGATTTTGCAGTATTTGTATAAATTGTAGGCTGTACCTGCTGACAGACTGTTGAGGAGTGGGGAGTAGCAATATACTCTTACAGCAGCTTTATTAGCTGATGTTGCCAGGCAAAAACAATGAAGTTGCTCTCCTTTGTTTTTGTGTGAATTAAAGTCAGGTTGATACAGCAGACTGTAAAATACATAATTTAATTTTCAACTACATATTTCAGTTAACAGACCAAATTTTTAAACTTGTTGTAAAATGTATTTTGCAGACATTTTGAACACCTCAACAGACATGTTGGTAATGAACCAAAGTGAAGACTACAGGGAAACGCAAGAAGACAGGTACAGGAAAAATAGTTTATACTTAACAAATGGTAAACGCTATAGCGTGCACTATTGAGTTATGGATGCACGCGGGAGTTTGCTAAGCACGAAAGAAACGTAAGAGTCGCAGGAGGCTATAGCCGAGTGCGACTCTAGCTTCTTGAGTGCTTAGCAAACCTCCCAAGTGCATCCATAATTCAATAGTGCACGCTATGGCGTTTACCATTTGTTTTNCGGGTTGCCATTTTAACGTCACACAACGCATAAACTTGGAAATTCAAACGTGCCCTATTTCAAAATGAGGAACCCTGTCGAGCTTAAACGATGCAAAACGTCAAGTTATTAGAGGTTCTTCCATCTGTTGAAACTAAAACTTCAGAAGGATTAGTAATTTCTTATTTTGGAAAATGATGACGTCACATGAAAAGAGGCAATAGGGTAATAGGGTTATAGCTCTAAAATAATGTACATATAATGATATGTTAGCTTTAATTTGTTCTCAGATACGTTTTATCCCATTGTTCCGAAACATTTTCTTTTATTCTGCTAATATGCCCAACCTCCCCACCCCCCTCCCCCTGGATATAACCCTCCCTGTTTATAAGCCCACCCAAAACCCCTTATGAAGTCATATAAGACCAGGGTTTTTCAACCTGGGATTTTACAGTGTTATAATTGTTTTCCGTGACAAATTGTAGGTTGTACCTGCTGATAGAATGCTGGGGAGTGGGGAGTAGCTTACAGCAGCTTTATTAGTTGATGCTGCCAGGCAAAAACAATAAAGTCTCTCTCCTTTGTTTTCATGTGAATTAAAGTCAGGTTGATACAACAGATTGTGAAATACATAATTTAATTTTCAACTACATATTTCAGTTAACAGACCAAATTTTTAAACTTGTTTTAAAATGTATTTTCCAGATATTTTTGACCTCAACAGATATGTTGGTAATGAACCAAAGTGAAGACTACAGGGAAACGCAAAATAGACAGGTACATGAAAAATAGTTTATACACGTGTATATCTATCAATCTGAGTTGATCGATCATTCAATCGATCATTCAATCGATCAATCAATCAATCAATCGATCCATTGATCAATCGATCCATTGATCCATCGATCCATCAGTCAATTGATGACTCGATCGATCAATCAATCAATCAATTATGATAATCAGTAATCAAGCTGTTTTCTTTGATGTCATTCAAAACAAAAAGAAATAATTTGATTTCCTGGAATTACAGGTATGCCATTGACAGGTCTATCCCATCAATGGACTATGGCAAAGGATGTAAGAATAGTTTTACATTACTGCTTTAGTCCTGATTTGTGACTTCAGTAATGGTTTCAGTCACACTATGTTGCGTAAAACTGGCCATACAGTTAAATAAAGTTAATATATTTTTAATGCTCATACTGTACGTATGTGCTAATGATGTTTGTAGATCGTGTTGGCAGTGAGTTCTGGAAACAAGTAGAACAAATAGGAGACGATGAAACAGGGATTAAGTAAGATTAAGTAAGTAAGTATTATTAAACTGATACTAAAATATTTTAGATCTCCCTTTTCACATTGCAGCCATCTCGTTGCAAAGACAGGGAGAACTCATTCATAAGTATCTAGAATAGCGGTTGAATGAAAATTCATATTTTGGTGTTTTTTTTAATTTCATAGACTGAAGTATGAGAGCTGAATAGCAATTTGTTACATATGATACTAAAAAATTGTCGAAGGTGCATTATCCCAATGTTACTATTAATAATACTCTTAATTATTATGATTCTAATATTAACAATATTATTTAATGTAATCGTTGGCTGCCTCTTAGCTGCAATTATCATTTTGCAAATTATTTTAAAATGGAAGGGCCTGTTTTATACATAACATTATCCAAGGTATTTTTAAAGTTCTCTGGTTAAGTTAACTTCATCAATGCAGATTTTATTTCAGTTACATGTGGTAATTGATGGTTTATCACGTTCTGTTTTCTTGAAGTATGACTTTAACACAGACTGAGCGTGGTTATCCACCAGCAATTGAACACATTGGAAAAGCCATCTATATCAAGAATGAAATGGGTAAGTTTTTAAGGCACAGTTTCATGGTTTGGCAAATAAAGTTACGTTTTCGCTTTCTTACTGGACCATGTGTATTTTAACAAACACAGGCTATAAGTTAGGTAAGCAGAATGACTGATTAGGCTGCACTCTCGTCAACTATCGCGTGGTAGAAATCTCGAGCTCATAATCTACTTGTTAATTCCATTGGCAATACATTCTGTACTGGTTTCCCCCTTCCCCAACCTTAGAAATATGGTTTCTGATGTCTTTTGAGTGGTTTTTTTTTTTTTTTTTTTTTTNACGGGACCCTTCCTTTCCCCCACCCGGTGAGGAAGACCTTTAATGGAACATATTTTGTTGTGCAGGCATAGAGTGGTCCAAAACCCACAGGTCTGCTTCAGTGCACTATCCATGGCAAAAATCAACTTATATTCAGGAGAGAAATAAGCAGCTCCAAACTGTTCTACATGAGCTGGATCCTCATGAGCCGGTAAGAAGAAAACTGATCGTTACAAAAGTGTTCTCTTTGCTGCAAAACATTGTGGTTTTCAATCAAGTCGTTTATCTGAAAACTGAGTTACATGTACGCGTTTTTCATGAAGGCTACAGGTAAACAAATTTTTCCTGCAAATTTTGATGCCGAAGGTTTGCAAACTGCTTGACTTGTTCTGTAGTTTCATGGAGTAGTGGAGATTTGATTATAGATATCTAGACTTGCTAACACTAACCAGACACGTTAACCAGTTCCAAGCTGTAAACCAAGGACATAAGTTTAGTCAATCTAACTTATGCTATATCTTCTCAATGTTTAAATTTTTCTTGACATCGAAGAAAACATCAAAATAGGAAGTTTAATTAACTAAAGGCAGAAATAACGCGTAACAAAAATTATTAACGATGGCTAAGATTTGGGAAGAATTAAGACTGCGAACAACGAACTTTAGAAACTGTGGCCGAACTCTTCAGTGTTCCAAACTGTGTTGTGACACTGCTGAGGTGCTTTTTGTGCTCGTCACGCGTTCCTCTCCCATGTGGAGGAGGAAAGATTGCGTGCAGGCGCATAGTAAAGTCTTGTTTTCTCTTGATCAGTACATTGATGAGCTCGAGGTGATAGGAACAAACCAGCCTCAACATCCATCCAAGTTTGATATGATGTCGGTCGTACAAGAAGAGGAAGAGGAGAGTGAAATGTTAGAAGAAACCACGAGTGAAAGGTCAGCATCCAAAATGTCCTCACTCTGTTTCATTCGTTTTCTGTTACTTTACTTGGCATTGTTTATTTAGACTTGATTTCCGCCACTCTCTTGGGTCCGGTCGTGTTCCTCTCAAATTTGGGGGTGAGCGTGGACTCATTTCCCGAAACAGCGGCTGGTTAAATCCATCCTGGTGTTTTCTTGGATTCTTCTTCTGTTAAGACATCACCGCAGTTATAGTAAGCAAAATTAGCGAGTCATTATGACTGGGAATCAAAAGTGGCTGAAAATGCACCTAGGTATCGAGATATTGGAGACAGAAGTTGGAAAATCAGAAACTCGCGTGTTTTCTAACGTATAAAAAAACTGCTAGGTAGAAATTTTAACCTTCTTAAATCAGAGGACGTTTTTGAATCGCTTTCATGGAGTATTTTATTTCTGTACGCAATACAGATTTCACTCTTTCATTTACCGCCACAAAACTCATGAATTTTTTGCGTGATTTTTAGTGACTTTGCTCGTGCATACAGTGTACAGTGTATATCACCTATAAGTGAAGTCAAACCACCCATTAGACAAAACTTCCCTGGGATATTTACATGGAATAAGCCTTGTTTGAAGATACGTTGTACAACCAGTGTTTTTCCATATTCTTGAGGGAGCGTCTTCGCCGTCTTGTCCAGGGCGTTCTGTCTAGGGGACGCTTTGACCGGTTCCCTTGAACATTGCCACTGTTTGTTTGGTCTGTCCATTTCCAGGGATCCTCTAGCAAACATTGCTGATGTTGTACCTCAGCCCATATTTGGACCGTCGTTATCCATTTTGGTGGGCAAACGGCTCAGTGGAGCGGGCAGAGGACTGCGGTCAGTGGACAAGTAGGCGTGGCTTGCCGCGTGATATTTGACGCCAATGTGGGAGATAGGGTCACCTCCCATTTGGATATATGCAACGATGGAACAACGGCTATATACNGGTGAGCGTGGACTCATTTCCCGAAACAGCGGCTGGGTAAATCCATCCTGGTGTTTGCTTGGATTCTTCTCTTGTTAAGACATCACCGAGGTGATTGTAAGCAAAATTAACGAGTCATTATGACTGGGAATCAAAAGAGGCTGAAAATGCACCTAGGTATCGAGATATTGGCGACAGAAGTTGGAAAATCAGAAACTCTCGTGTTTTCTAACGTATAAAAAGACTGCTAGGTAGAAATTTTAACCTTAAATCAGAGAACGCTTTTGAATCGCTTTCATAGAGTATTTTATTTCTGTACGCAATACAGATTTCACTCTTTCATTTACCGCCACAAAACTCATGAATTTTTTGCGTGATTTTTAGTGACTTTGCTCGTGCATACAGTGTACAGTGTATATTACCTATAAGTGAAGTCAAACCACCCATAAGACAAAACTTCCCTGGGATATTTATATGGAATAAACCTTCTTTGAAGATACGTTGTACAACCAGTGTTTTTTCATATTCTTGAGAGAGCGTCTTCGCTGCCTTGTCCAGGGCGTTCTGTCTAGGGGACGTTTTGACCGGTTCCCTTAAACATTGCCACTGTTTGTTTGGTCTGTTCATTCCTAGGGATCCTCTAGCAAACATTGCTGATGTTGTTCCTCAGCCCATATTTGGACCGTCGTTATCCATTGGTGGTCAAACGGCTCAGTGGAAAGGACAGAGGACTGCGGTCAGTGGACAAGTAGGCGTGGCTTGCCGCGTGATATTTGACGCCAATGTGGGAGATAGGGTCACCTCCCATTTGGATATATGCAACGATGGAACAACGGCTATATACTTTTCTTGGAAGGTATTTTATGACTTTAGTCTTTTTTTTCGGTGTTGAAAGTGCCGTTGTTGATTTGAACGTATATTCGAGGCGTTTGAAATGTGATGAAGTGCTATCTCGAATAACTAACTCTATTCTTTACCCAACAGAAAATACCTCGTCTCAACGTGCTGGGTACAAAGCTCGCAGGCCAGACTCAAAGGTTTTACTTTGACTTTAAGAGCGGGGTGATTCTGCCAGGGGATACTTTGAAGTTCCCATTCGTATTTAAATCCCCCAATGCGGGGATCTTCACAGAGACGTGGGAGTTTATGACCAGGCCTACATTGTGTGGTGGCGCCCCTATAAGAATCACTCTGAAAGGTAATGAGCTTTGTCTTGAGTAAGTTTGCGGGTCATTTCTTTTGAAGTTTTAGCGCGAAAATAAAAATAAAAATAACTATAACTATAAATAACTGAAAAAGCGTCAAGGAGTTTCAAACGTTGTGGGTAGCGAGTAATGGCGAAAGGGTGACGCGCCAAACAAGTGGTAAACAGGAGTAAAAAGGGAATTCTGCGAGCTCTTCTATGTCGATTTTCTGTTTGTGCTTTTAAGAGACCAGATATTAGTGAGAACTGCGATGTCACCAAATTTCTTGTTTTTCGTTTGCATGGGTATCGCCATTTAACCTAATTTTGAGCGTACAAAAGACATTGGCGATTATTGAGCGGTTAAATTTTGAACGTTTCGGTGATTAAGTCTCCTGGCTTCATCACCGTTCTAGAAGACTGAACTTTAAGAATTTTTTGCAACATCTTGACTTGATGATACGCCCTTTATGATGCTACAGATAGTTCCGATGCCTTAAGTTTCCTTAGCCCTGAAAGACAAAAAAAAACCTACTTCTCCTGATTGAGTTCCTGCGTGAAATCTATTGCATCTACCCTGAATAATTTTTCAACAATTTCTCAGGCTCAAATTACACTTTTGGACCCCACTAATTCGAACTCGGTTATTTCGAATTCCTGTTATTTCGCACTCAGAACCATTTCCCTTGGATTAACCCTTCAGTCATAGAGTTGTAGAATTTTTGGAATTGTAGAATTATTATGTTTTGCTGTACGTATGTCTGTTTTTCTTAAACGTTTGGCTAGGTACGCGACCCCACAAGCAACCTATTTCTTTAAACCAAATCGTATTTAAATGAAGAATTGCTGCTGTTGTCACTTACTATCGCTTATTTGGAACTCCCGCTATTTCGAGCTGTTTTTTGTTTCCCCTGAGAGTTCGAAATGGCAGTGTTCAGCTGTATTTATTAAGATGTTTGTTTAGGCGTAGCAGTGGAGGATGACATCTACAAAGAGGCCAGACAGCAGATCGAACAGGAGCTAGCTCACAGAGAGGCCGTGGAAACTGCCGCTAGACTTTTGGATGAGATCCTTGAAGGCGTTCGAACTCCCGAAAGGCCCAGATCCCCTGTGGATGCTTATATCACGGTGAGTGGTGTCATTCAGGAGACTGGGGATAGCGGTGGAGTTAAGACTCGCTTGTTGTACTTTTATACCGTAGAAGTAAAGTGAACCGTGTCATTTTATTGACTTAGAGAAACATGAGCGTGTTTTAACACGCTTATCACATGTTACAAAAGGCGTTTTGGAGCAAACTTTTTTTTTTCTCGTGCGTTTGCGACTGAGATTCGATAGCTGTTCATCCCACTGATCATTCTTTCCTCTCTTTCTACCCTCTCTCTACTGCAGTTCTTTCATTATTTTTCTCCGTCAATTTTTACTTTTCAAGATTCCATCATTTTGTCTTTAAAATTGGTGTGCCACTACATCCTTAAATTAGGATCCAATACAGGTTGTTCAGAGATGACTGTTTGGAAATGTGGGTGTTTGTGGCTAGCAAATAGGGCTTGAGATTTCCACTAGTTATCCAACGCTTTGGAGTGATGGAATATCCCACTTGTATTTTCTCGGTGTTGACACGAGCCTTTCAAAAGTGTTGCATCCATGAAGCTACAGTACCATGCCATAAAAGATACATTGGCCATCACAGTCAATGCGACTTACCCGCAGCACACGATGGAAGGTGTAATACCGTCTGGTAAAAGCGGCTTTCCTGTGTTCTGATTGGCTCTATTTTCTATGCCATGTTATAAATCTTAGTAAACGTGACTTTCATACATGTATTATTTAAAAAAAAAAAAGTTTATCAGTAACGGCAAAATAATCACGAGCTTGTTTATTAATGCTTTAGGAAGAGGAGATATTTGGAAGAGCAAACCAAGGGGTAAGAACTTTTTGTTGCAACAGATAGTTGTACATGTCATAAGACACAGTGTCGATGTTTTAAGTCAAACTAATTTGGACATAATGCGTTTGGAAAATCCATTCAAAACTGTCAGCTGCAGGGCTGAGACGAAAAACTACATACATAGCTGTTCACATCTTAGCTTACCTTATCAAGTGTAGACCAAATGACCAAAGGGTTCCAGACTCTTTCAGACGTGGTACAACTAAATTCTGTACATATGATTGTGAATCGCATTCTTATGCGAGTTTCTGTGTCCACATGGGTTCCCTGCCTGAGGTCATTTTGTTATGTTCTTGGGCAAGACACTTTACTCTCATAGAGTCTCTCTCCACCTGAGGTGTAAAAGTGACAGCAGCCTGTTTTTACTATGGGTGATACTGTAGTGGACTAGCATTCCATATTCCTTGTGCATAACTCGCTTCCTGCCACAGAGACCGAGATTACTGCCGCGCGGATGGGCAGCTATTCTGGAATACAGAGGCTATGACCCGCCAAATAAACCATTTTGATCTCATGGTGGTCCATCTTTTCAGATGTATTTCCAGGATGAGGTGGTTCAAGAACTAAAGCAGATTTACGCACAGCTCGAAGAGGACGAGGATTGGGACTTGTCGCTACAGTCCCTTCAACAGGTAACCCAGGTTATTGTACGAGAATGGAATCCACTCCACAGGGTAACCCACGGTTATCCTGATTAAACTCGTTTCCCTCGTTTCTATTACATCAGTAGTAGAAAAAAAAATTTATTTTGCTCTATTAAAGTACAAAAACCTTATCCTCAATCCTTGGTATTTTGAACCTTACTTTCAATTTTTCTAGTCATGTTTAAATTCACGGTCCCACCAGCACTAATGGTAAATCATTTTCTGAGTGTAGATAATTGCATTTTTCCGCGTATTTGGGAATGGTTCTGAACAGCTGCTTACAAACTTGCGAAAAATGTACATTTACTATATTTTGTAATATTTAGCACTTTTATAATACGCGAGGAACACGCCTTTTGTGTCACAGTAGTGAAACAAAACTTGCACGTCTTCTTTTAGCATTTTGATGAGCTTGCCATTTACTTGCATGGCTCAAAATCCCTGTGCAATGTGCTCTAAATTATACCTTTGACGCTCAAGGCTGCTGTAGCTCGTTTTTCAAAGTGTTTTTTATCGTTAGTTATTGATTCTTGTAGAAAATCATGTCAGTTGAAGATGCAGATCAGCGTGACAGCTTGCTCCAGACGCTGAACAGCTCTATATCAACACTGTCATTTCCGCCAATGACACCCGTAAAACACGCCATGTATACTGCAGGGTGAGTCCTCTGTTCAATTCTGCGCCAGAGTGCACTCGAAGACGAGGAAAAGAATTAAAGAATTGCTGTTTACTGCTATAATATTGATCTCTTGCCCATTAGGTGCGCAGTATTTGTTTCTTAGATCGTGGCAAACATTCGAAATAACACGGTACTCACAAGAAACTAGCTTTCGACAAAGTTTAATTCAGGAATCGCTAGATCAAATTAGTTCACAGCAAACAGCCCCCTCGTATTTTAACTCTTTGTTTGCACGTTTAATTTGCTCGTTTTCTATAATCGGAGATACCGGAACAGCCTAACCGAAAGGAAAGTTTTCATTTTTCGCTAACACCATAAATATCACACTTATTAACTTCCCCAACGTGGTTAATATCCTTCTAGCCTAAGTTTTGATGACTTATTGACTGTTAGGTATCAACTGCTCTGTGAAATGGTGGACAGTATTGTGGGTCAGGCCAACATGATAAGATCTATACTTGGTCTTCCTGAGAGAGAGCTCGTCGAGGACACATCACAAGAAGAAGGTATGTCCCTGGTGTGACTGTACTGTATGCGACAATTGGTGGTCCTGTGACGCTTGGCCCAGAAGCTTGGGGTCTACTTCCTAATACTACCTACCTGTTATTCAGTTGGAGATGCTTCTTTTCAATCTAGCAAATACATTTTCAGACGCCGTACATGTTGATGTCACTCGTAGTATTTCAACTGTTTTTATTTATCTTGCCTGCAAAGGTTGACATAAAATTTGAATTGATAGTGCTACGCACCCTACGCCCCGTACCGTTGCCACGTGACTAACTTTTTGATTGTTGGCCTATATCTGAACCAGCCAATCAAAACATGGAAACTATCGAGGGTGAAGATGATCAAATTCATCATTCACACATACGGGAATTTTAAAAGTCTCAAAAACCTGTGAACGTTTGATACTGTCGACAAGTTGTCGTAGTTTGATTGGCCATTTGAATCGGAAGCCATCAGAAGTTGTCAAAACGTTGTCAAAAAGTAATCAAAACGTATCTAGGTAGCAACGGTAAGGTGCACTGTAACTGTATGGATAAATGTTTTGCTGAAATATTTGTTTGCCTAGCAGGCTTCTGTTACCTCAACTGTGCAATGATAGTTATTAACCCTTTTGTAACACAGTGTAACATCAAAGACTGCTCATAGCACAATGTCCGGTCAGTCATTTTATCAATCTGGGATAATCTACTTAGCTTTAAAACGACATCGCTGAACAATGTTAAAGGAGTCTGAGCTGAACTTTGAGAAGTAAAAAGTCCGCTTATTGCAGGCTTTGCAACAAAATGGTTTAAGGTAATTCCCCTGAAATAAAACTGCCAATAGATTTTTGTTCAAACTTTGTCCACTGAATATTTATCATATGAGAACTTCAATTATAAAATAAAAAAGGGGGGTGCCCATACTCGTTAAGGAGCGGTGAGGCATTAAAAATGTCCCATTTTAACATTATTTAATGCCTATTGTAAGAACGCATTCCAAGTTATTGTAAACTCTTTGTGAGCCCAGACTCATGAAAACACGCCTCAAACTACAGTCAATACTCGTGTCGGACACAAATAAACTTTTTAAGTTTTATTTTGACAGACAGCTGAATCCTTGTTAAGATATTGGAACCAAATTGCTTGCCACGGCTATCAAACTGCAAAATAGAAAAGACTACAGTGCAGCTGCTATTTTCCTTATTTATTCAATTTTCAACAATAGAAATCAGATCAGTCTTTTCTCACGCAAAGCTAATGATTAGTTGATTAAAATGACTGGAAAAAAATTTGGGGTGCCCGAGCTCGTTAGTRAGCTATAGCCATTTTTCAACTGACAGAACTCAATATCAAGGCAAATCCGCCATGTTTTCAATGTGCGCGTGCACGAACGCGCGCTAATGACGCCATAAATTATGCGCAGTAGGGATGCGCAATGCAAATGTGAGGAATCACCTTAATATTGGTGTCCGCGTTCACTTAACAGAGGTGTCCGCTGAATGCAGGTTTATTTTACAATAAATGTGGGAAGAAAATTTAGGGACTCAAGCTGGTGTCCACTTAATAGAGCGGGTCTGCTTAATATGGGGTCCGCTTAATACAGGTTTCACTGTAACTCAATATCAAGGACCGTCGCTGATTTATTTTCTATTAATCCGAGCGAATGCTACTTCTTGTTTAAAAGCCTTAGTAGGTTCTTCCGCTAGATGTAAGACCTGGTAACTACTTTGTACTACTTTGTTCTTATATTTTATTGTTCTCTTTGCTTTTTAAAAATGTTTTAAAACAAATCAGTAGAAAAACGGCTACGTAAAGGAACTACTTCTGAAACGAAAGCGGACAGCAGAAAAGGAGACAAGAAAGACAAGAAAGGAGGCAAGATTCCTGAATCTGTAAGTTCGTGTCAGCATGTGGGATCATTGTAGAGCCTCTCTTATAACATTTCATTTTACGTTTTATATATGTGCAGTAAGGGGTGGCAGACATAACGGCTTTTACTATACGCTAAAGAAATAACGCTTGCTTTCTTTGTTCTGGTTGTTCATTGCCATGCATCAGGCTTGGCGTTGGACTAGGAGTTTGAGCTCACGTTTGAGGCCTGGTCAGGCGACTTGTGTTGTAGTGGTCTTGGGGAAGACACTTTACTTTCAAAGTACCTCTCTCCACCCAGATGTACAGGACCTCAGAAAATTGCTAGGGAGTAATCTGCGGATGGATAGCATCCCTTCCAGTGAGAGAACTAATACCTCTAGTTGCTTTCTGTTACCGGGAAAGTTCTATCTTCGATAATCGTTTTATTTTCATCTATTTGATGAGACCAGGCCCCAGTTGTTCGAAAGAGGGATAACGCTATCCACCGGATAAATCGCTATCCAGTGGATAAGTGTTGACAAAACAAACCACGCTATCCGCTGGATAGTGATTTATCCAGTGGATAATGTTATCCACCTTGGCCAGATGTATAAGCTGGACTAAAGTTACGATTTTCAAAAATTAAACAAATTTCATGGAAGGTGTAAGTTCTGTTGGTATTTTCATTTTAACCAAGACAATTGTGACTTTCAGAGTCCAGAACCTCTTGAAGATTGTTATTACGTACCAGATTATGACCTGTCTGTTAGTAACACCTAACGTAATCGTATTACCCTATCCAAACTTACGTGTTACCCTATCCAAACTTACGTATTACCCTATCCAAACTTACGTATTACCCTATCCAAACTTACGTACTACCCTATCCAAACTTACGTACTACCCTATCCAAACTTACGTACTACCCTATCCAAACTTACGTACTTTCCTATCCAAACGGCTAACAGTACACAAACAGGACTTCAAGCATTAAATCGAGCAATGCGAGCGAAGCTAGAGTCACAAGACCCAGCTGAGCAGGGAGACAAAACAAAGATATTGCACATCGAATTTTTAAGATGAGGTCGTGGCGTGTTCGATTTTCCAAAAATGTTTCTGCAAGGTTGAGTTAACACTCCCTGGTAGATATATTTTAGAACACGCAAATTTATTTACTCTTGAAGTGGGTAGCATGCTTCATAGCACATCCGCTTCTCTCTAGTTTATGCCGTTTGTAATCCGTCTTGATCTTTCTTAGTCGTAATCATCTTTGTGTTTTTTTCGGTTAACTATTTCAGTCGTACACGTACCTCTTTAATACGGACACCAAAATCTCTTAGCTGTGTGTCTGTATAATAAAGGTGTCTGTCTTATGTCTGTATGATGAAGGCAACTATCTTGTAGAGGTAGAGACTATAGGAATACACTAGTTACACTTGCACCAGATGAATTGTCCGTAATATAGAGGTGTCTGTATAGAGAGGTTTGGCTGATCTTCTTGCGTGCTTTTCTACGTTCTTTTTACATCTACATGCTGTTATGTTAAGTTGTCCTCAGCCGGTCCACGTTCTCGGATTGTGGTCAAGAGAGGGGGTGGCGGGGGGGGGGGGG